GTACAGTACTGGAATGTACTGTACCCATCTTTACTGTAAGGTGTAAAAACAACCAGTGTAGATTAATTCAGGACAGGCTTAAAGCATATGCACTGTGGTTTCCATGCTCTAGGAGTCCTAAAAAAAAAAAAAAAAAAAATTAAAAATGATATTTTTGTGTTTTCAACAGGTTACAGGTTTGTAAATCTCAGACAGTGAATCAAGAATCTCTGCTCAGTGTAGAAGATCAACCAGTTCAGGTTCAACTAATCTAAATATTGAAGGTTTTGAACTCCAGTGGATCAAATGCAGTTCATAGAAACAGTGAATCTTGACTACAACATCCAAGTCATTAACAAGTCAAATTTTCTTGCTTTCTCTGAATAACAACATTCAGTAAGTTATCTGGTTGGTCTGGTTGTATAACAACAAACATGTTTAGAAGGAGCTGTTTTTCTTTTTGAGAGCATGCAATGAGCACCCTGGACAATGAGCCCTGTTGCACATATAAAAATATGTTGCGTAGAAAATACAGGGCGATGCTGGAAAAAGACCTGTTAGAAATGGCATGAGGCAGTACATCCCCTCCCAACAGGATGACAGAGCCGAGATACTCAGCCAGAGCTACAAGCGATTAAAGCACATTGATGTGTTAAAGTGGTCCAGTCAAAGTTCAGTAATTAATCCAATTACAAACCTGCGCATGACTCTGACTCTGTGACTCTTCTTTGATGTCGAATAATTAAAAATAAAAGCCAATTATAAGCTTAATTTGAAGCCAACATTCTGTTCCAAATCATACTGTGATTGTTGCAGGAATTGTACAACTTGTTTCTGACACACCCAAAACTAAAACATTACCTGAATGAGGTGCTGCCAATCATAGGCACATGAGAAGCATTACACCTGAATCAGACAGAGGGATCATCTGCTTATCTTCCCTTATGCAGGAATGAGGAAAACTGTCTGTCTGAGGAGTGAGAAAATCAATCAGAATAACATTGTTAAGTGATTGCATGCTCACACACACACACACACACACACAAAGCTATGCACATCCATGTAAGGGTTTGCAATAACAACCATACTGATGACATTCTTTGAGTGACCTTTCACCTTCCCTTGACATTCCTTTCTTGTTTTTCGGCTGCGTTTTTTTGGATGAATCATGCTTTGTCAAAGAGAAGTCCTGTTGAATCAGGCCCTGCCTTTCTGTGATTTAAATTGCCAACGCAGCTGATCGGGTGTTACTGGCTCGTTAAGGCAAACAATAGCAAATATGCCAAGGCTGTATCTGATCCAGAGCTGCTGTGTTTTTGTTTTGCTGCCAGTATGTTTTTGCTGATCTCTGGGTTATCAGAGTCGAAGAACTTGCTTCCTGCTCTGAGGTTTGAGGAGATGTTGTTTCTTTGGCCTCAGTTAAGCTGCTAAATGTGCTCCGATTGTTTCACCTAACCGGTTGTGTTCAGATATGTCTTCAAGAACAGAACTTGAAAGCCTCTTTGATGGGTGTTTATGTGGTTGTGAGTAACTAAATGATTGCTGAGTGAAAGACAAACTGTACTCAAGACGTGTTATGTAGCATACTATTAGTGACAAAATACAAACCACATTTATCATTTTCTGTATCGTCTTTCTTCTATCTTTATCTGCTGACCTGTTCCTCAGTCTCTCTTTTATTTCAATCTTCTTTCAGTTCCATTTCCTCTCTGCATATCTCTTCTGTCTATTTTTCCTAACATCAAAATCTTAGTATCATTCAATCATTACCTCAGACTGTTTATTTCTTTTTTTTTTTTTTTACGTTGACAACAACAGAGCCTGTAAGTATGTATTTGTGAGCTGAAGTTTCCACACAGGACGGTGAAGAGAGAACAGCAGTTTGCAGTCTCATGGAGCAAACATTTGTCATTTCCTTCCCGTTTCCTTCATTTCATTCAACGGCCTCCTGTTGCAAGCTGCCCCCTCTTTGCTCCTCCTGGAAACACACAAACACAGACACACAATGTCAGACAACACACAAACAACCTCGTCTCACATAGGAAAAATACTTCTGAACACAGACACAGACAAAAACAAGCTAACACAATGTAGCTGCAGCTGTAAACAAAACAAAACAGTTTCAACTCTTCTGCACCAGTCTTGACTCAAATGTTAAGAAATATGTTTTTATTACAATTAGTGATTTATTTTCCAGATTTAGGTTTAAGTTTTTTTTTTTTGTTTTTTTTTAAGAATCTTTGGGAGCAAGATGAAACTTACCTTTAAGGTCATGTTTCCGGCTGCGTTGTGATATTGGTGTAGTATATTACATTCCTGAGATTGATTTCGAAAAGTTTCAACAAAACCTTGTTGAGAACAAGGCCATTGTGGTTGAATGTGTTGCTCAGTATCTTCACGGCAGAAACTATATCTGACTTCCAAGGTCTTGCTGAAGCTGCAAGTGCTTCTTGGCTCTGGGAAAAATAACTTTTGATTATTTTTTTAACTTCTCCATCAAAACTCTTGAGAGGAGCACCTATCTGCAGCTGGTTTACAGTGAAATTTTATTCTTTTCAGTTCTGGATTATTATTTTTCCAGTGGTACTTGCCTGGATATTACAGCTACCACCGTTGCCATAGCAAAGTTTTGCATCAGAGGGAGTTTTTATGAAGGTGCAATCTGTAACATTCTTTGGTAATGAGAAACTTTTTTATGGGCTATCAGTTAATACTAAACAACATATTGATTTGAACGCAGTATCAGGAACACTTTCTAAATTTCACTTCCACATTTCAAATTTTATTTTCCTCTTCACACTCTAATTTGCATTTATTTAATTTTTCTGCATGTGTAGATATGTTGGGTTGTTGCACCTGTTCAATCTTATATCCATGACTCCATTTGAAATAATTAAAGTGAAAAAAACAATTGACTTGTTCAACACTTATTTTAGGCACCATGTGCACTGCTAGAGTCACTGAGATTATAACAAAGAGTCAGCAATCATGTAAAAATGACACAGCAAGGAAGATTTTCTGGTGCAGCAGCGAGTAACCAGAGCAGGTCTGAACTGAACTGAGGCTTATCAGCTGTAACCCAGCAACAAAACCTGCAAGGGTGGTTCGTCGTGTGAACAGAGGCACCAGTGGTGCTTAAGGTTCAGCAGGGAGATTTTTTTTTCACATCGTTTACGCCTTTGAAAAATAACACGCAAACTCCTCTGTGTTTGCATAACATTAATTCATCTGTCACTGCAGCAGTAAACAGTTTGTGTTAAAAGCCCATAAAGCATCTGCAGCAGAGTTTAAAAGAATCAGGCAGATCCTCTGATAAAGTCTCACGCATCACTCTGGATGTGGGAAAGCAACATGTTGGACTGGATGCAGAGGATAAGCTCTATAATTATCCAGCTTATGAAAATGAAATTGACAGAAACCATTGTTTGCTCTAATAAGCAAATGGTGCTAACACTGTGTGACAGGAATGCTCCCAGTCAGGATTCCTGTTATCGAAGGAGACTGTTGCTCTGTGTGTCGGTCTGTGCGATCTTGTTTCAGAGTGAATCTGGAAAATCACTGATCTCCTTCTTTCCTGCTTAATCAAGAGTTCAGCCTCTTGCTGACTGGATTTCCAGAATGTATCGACACGCTGAAGTTGCCTCATGCGCTTGAACATGTTTGAAATGTGTTTTGAAGAAACACACACCCTTCAATAGATTCCAAAAAGTTAATCTCAGCTTGATTAATGTGCAGGTCAAAGCAACTCCTGTTTGTTTTCTTTTGTTCGTAAACTGCTCTTCAGATTCCTACATTTTGTGAATGTCTTGCATAGCTGTCATCAAATTGAAATAGGAAGTCGCGGTCAAAGCTAAATGCCTTATTACTCTGTATTTCTGAGCTTCAAATTTAGTAGGTTTCAGAGTTTTTAAAAAGTCTAAGGTCCTCCGAGGTGTAGTAAATGAGAAAAAGCAAGTTAGTTAACAGCTGGAGATGTAATGTCAGGGAAAAACACATGCATCTTAACTTCTGATTCAGTGTCATTCTACATACCACCAAACCTTTTTAAAACTCCCTCAATACATTTTGGTCAGTCAGATTTTTTTCTATTTTACAAAAAACAATAAATGTTAGAATAATCTGAAAAATATCAGCTGTTAGCCTAATATTGCTTTAAAAGTTATTGTAACTATCTCCATGGGTGTGCATTTAGGATTTTTCATGATGTCAATGAAAACATTCATACAGATTGTTCATACTGTCTGTAGTTTTCTACCGAATAAACAAAATACTGCCACATAAGCAGTTTAAAAGTGGTGGCGGGCGCTCCAGTGCTTCTCAGCTCCGATGTTGCCAGCCAACCTGACAAGCTGACGCCGTCATCAAAACAGGGCGCCTCAAGAGCCGCGTCTTCTATTACTACTAAGACTGTAAAAAAAAAAAAAAAAAAAAAAAAAAAAAAAATAAAAGCAAAAACTTTCAACCCCCTGTTTAATTTTTAATAATTAAAAAAAAAAAAAAAAAAATAAAAGCAAAAACTTTCAACCCCCTGTTTAATTTTTAATAATTAAAAAAAAAAAA